ATGGAAGGATTTGCCTGAGCAGGGGGTTGGACTAGATGACCTCCAAGGTCCCTTCCAACTTTATTGTTATTGTTATTATACTCCTTGTAGACAGCTGGTCATTTGCATTCTTTTAGAGAGTCAGACTCACTGGAGAAGGGCCTAATGCTGGGAAAGACTGAGGGCAATAGAAGAAGGGGACGACAGAGAATGAGGTGGCTGGATGGAATCACTGAAGCAGTAGGCGTGAGCTTAAATGGGCTCCAGAAGATGGTAGAGGACAGGAAGACCTGGAGGAACGTTGTCCATGGGGTCGCGATGGGTCGGACACGACTTCACAACTAACAACAAGAGAGTCATTGAGGTCACCTGGAGGTTTATCTGTATTGTCAGGATCACCTGAGTAGTGCAAATGGGTCCAGTTGCCTCATGAAAAAGCATCTTTGGGATAACAATGACCTGATGATTGAGAATCTCCATAGACAATCAAGAGATAAAAAGTGAGTTGCCTTCATCATCGTCATATCATCATCAACATCTTATCCTGTCTTTTCTCATAATTGCCATATTAGTTCAGGTGGCAGGAAACCCAGGAAAAAGTGTTTAAAATCATATCGAGATACTTTTCCTTAATTAATTCACTATAAATGAGGTGGGAAATTCCTGTTACTTCAGGGAGACAATTAGTTCAAGTACATAAAGGGAAATGACGAGGAAACTACATGGTCACAGACATTCAGACCAGAAATAACAAGTGCAAGTTGCAGCTGTGTAGATTTTGTTTAAATATAGGAAAAAAATTCCTGATGATGTGTACAAGAATAAGAATAGAATATTTTGCCTACAAGAGTTGTGGATTTCCCATCGCCGGAGATTTTTAAAAAGGGACTAGACAACCTGTGACCCCTTGACTCATCCTTCTCTCCAGAGATCTCAGAGTCCTAGTGGACATTCACTTAAATATGAGCCAGCAGTGTGCTGCAGCTGCCAAAAAAGCCAACACAGTGCTAGGCTGCGTTAACAGAAGGATAGAATCAAGATCACGTGAAGTATTAATACCACATTACAATGCCTTGGTAAGGCCACACTTGGAATACTGCATCCAGTTTTGGTCACCACGATGTAAAAAAGATATTGAGACTCTAGAAAGAGTACAGAGAAGAGCAACAAAAATGATTAGGGGACTGGAGGCTAAAACATATAAGGAACGGTTGCTGGAATTGGGTATGTCTAGTTTAATGAAGAGAAGGACAAGGGGGGACATGATAGCAGTGTTCCAATATCTCAGGGGTTGCCCCAAAGAAGAGGGAGTCAAGCTATTTTCCAAGGCGCCTGAAGGCAGAACAAGAAGCAACGGGTGGAAACTAATCAAGGAGAGAAGCAACCTAGAACTAAGGAGAAACTTCCTGACAGTTAGAACAATTAACCAGTGGAACAACCTGCCTCCAGAAGCGGTGAATGCTCCAACACTGGGAGTTTTTAAGAAGAGACTGGACAGCCATTTGTCTGAAATGGTATAGGGTTTCCTGCCTGAGCAGGGGGTTGGACTAGATGACCTCTAAGGTCCCTTCCAACTTTTTTATTATTATTATTATTATTATTATTATTGTTGTTGTTGTTGTTGTTGTTGTTGTTGTTAATTTCCTTACCGCATTCAGTGCCTTCAATGATAGCAGAACTTCTAATGTACTTGCAGTTTTGCACTTGTTCCTCTTGGTGCAGCTTGAAATTCTAGTTGTATTTTGTATTTTGTTTTTCAGTAAATCTACAAGCCGTAAGAACAGAATACCAAGATGAATTTGCTTTATCAACATCTCCCTCACTAAGTTCAGAAACTAGGAGATTCTGGTTAGATTTGTTTGCTGTTGTCTTTTGGAGTGAATGTTTAGATAACCCAGAAAAATCCAAACTAAATAAATGGCCTTTTATGGTCAGAATTGTATTGCTTGATGAAAAACGATTCCCCACACTATTATAAATTTTCTGGAATGGATCCACATTCTTGGTTATCTGACTCAACTCTTCTTTCAGATGAGTTTTTACAATTCTCAGCAGGTCAGCTTGCTTCCTGCTTACCTAGAAATGGAGTAAAAAACTGGCTCTATTTATCTCAAAAACTATGACTCGGCAAACTACAGGTAATCCTCGACTTACAATTCATTTAGTGACCTTTCGAAATTACAATGGCACTGAAAAAAAAGTGACTTATGACCAATTTTCACACTTACAATCATTGCAGCATCCTCAAGGTCATGTGATCAAAATCCAGACCCTTGGCAACTGACTCATATTTATGATGGTTGCAGTGTCCCAGGGTCAGGGGAAGCAGAGTCAATGGGGAAGCCAGATTCACTTAACAATCATGTTGTCAACATAACGATGACAGTGATTCACTTAACAACTGTGGCAAGAAAGGTTGTTAAGTGGGGCAAAACTCATTTAACAAATGTCTCACTTAGCAACAGAAAATTTGGGCTATACCAGTGATGGCGAACCTTTTAGAGACCGAGTGCCCAAATTGCAACCCAAAACCCACTTATTTATCACAAAGTGCCAGGCCTGCATCAGCATTGTGGAGCCCTTGGGGGGGGGGTGGCCCACTGGGTGGGCGTGGCTGCAGTGGTCATGGCAGACTGGGTGAGTGTGGCTGGGGCCAGGGCAGTGGGGGCCAGTCCCTCATCATCTCCGGGGAATCCCCGGAGGGCCAACGCCGCTTGCTTGCTCACTTCCTGCCCTGTCGCTTCCAAATGCCACGTGCATGCTACTCTGGCGAACTCTGCTGGGGCAATGGCGCGTGTGCCCACAGAGAGGGCTCTGAGTGCCGCCTCTGGCACGTGTGCCATAGGTTCGCCACCACTGGGCTGTACAATTGTGGTCGTAAGTCGAGAAATACCTGTATATGTAGGATATTACATATTTAGCAGTAATAACCTCGATTATAGAAAAAGGGAGCGGAATGAGAACTTTTGTACACAAACGGATCTCTTGTTCAACCGACAAATGTACTGGACCTTTTTTTAAATCTTGTATCGTGTATATCCTTTTTCACACTTAAAAGGCGCAAACATTCAGGACTGCTGAATATAAGCATTAGCATCAGCAAAGTGCCCGTAGTGTATTCCAAAATTAGTTAAAATATTATAAAAGGTATAGTAATTAACAGCTGTAATGACAAATAATTAAATAATACATGTCATGAAGCCAAGGTGAAACACATTGCCTGAAAGGAGAACTTACCCAAAGTAGACACTTTGAGAGAAGAAACAGCCACAAAAGGGAACAACTGGAGTGCAGAAAAAGAGAAGTATCACAGGGAATGGAGCAAAAAACAACTGACTCAGTTGGACACATGTGTCTGAAAAGACATGAGGTCTTGTTGGTGCCAAATAAGTCCAAAAAGAAAAAGGAATTTCCATCACAGGCTGTGGAGGTGCATATAATATAATTGTCAATATCCAGCTCAAGGATCCAAATTAATCACCAGGTTCATTCCATTTCCAAAAATCTTACTGTTTATTGAATACATGGCACGGTACTGTCGAAGCAAAATTCACTCTGAGGTTTCAAGACACCAGATCAAAGAATTACCGTAAACAATAGTCTTTTTGCCCAACCCCCTGCCCTCTCACATAGTCCCGATAAATAATTTCAGTTTGTTATGGGAACTATCTGCTTCTCTTCCACACCTGCTGCAGTTTCCTTGGAAATGGTTCAGGCTCTCACGGTCTTCAGCAAAATCAAAAAGGTTTCATTTCTCCATCTAAACACTTCTAAAGCAACACCTCCCCCCCCCCAATTTTAATGGCAGGTCAAAATGAAGAGGCACGTAGCTGCCAAAGTTTCATTCTTGACAATAATTACATTATATGCCGTGCAGCATATAAAAGAAGACAGAACCAAGATGGAATTGAGAAACTTCAGGATTCAGACTTGACTTCTCCCAACAGCCTGGCCGAGTACATTTCATTTATTGGCTTCTCCCTGGATATCCATAACTATCCAGTCCAAGTCAATAAATTTTTTCCCAGTTTCTATGGACAAAGGCAGCGATAACATTGACACAGGAATACAGTGCAAGAACCTTTAGCAGATAAAAGTAAGTGACACCTCAGCCTTGGGAAAGGAGAGAAATAAAAGAAACTCAGAATCATCCCATGCTGGTTCTGTATGGTAGAAGAGACTGCAAAGGGAAATTGGCAGGTGTTCAGCTCTGTTATTATACCTGGCAACAAAAGTAGAATTCCAATAATAGTTGACAGGTCTGTTTCCTGACTTTGAAGGGCTGACGGTCTCATAGCTTTAAACCAAAATATACACTTTTAGCTTTAGCACTTCCCCTAAGCGGAAAAGGATAAATTGAACCAACTTGGTAGAAAGCACAATGCAAGTACTGTACACATGTTTTAAAAAGAAATTTATTTCCGGTTTCCTGTATTTATCGGGTACACAAAAGTAATATGAGACTGGAACTCTCTTTTCTTTCTCACCTTTTCACTAAGTTCTTTGGATAGGAACATCAGCAGAGCTTCAGTTCTGAGGCTGCACCTAGCTCAGGGGTAGGCAACCTTGGCTCTTTTATGACTCGTGGACTTCAACTCCCAAAATTCCTGAGCCAGCCATGCTGAGAGGAAAGAGAGAGGTTTCCAAGCTGAGCCATGCTGGCTCAGGAATTCTGGGAGTTGAAGTCCACGAGTCATAAAAGAGCCAAGGTTGCCTACCCTTGTCCTAGCTCAATAGTGCCAGAAACTGAAATCACAATTGGCAGTGTTGGAAAAGAGGCACCCCTCTGGTCACAGAGGTGGAAGAGGGAGCACATTCTTAGCCAGTGATGGTAGAAAAGCCCCACAGTGAGATACGTGGCAAATAAATTTAACAAACAAACAAACAAACAAACAAACAAATAAAGCACAAATAAGCTACACTGAAGAAACTTCCAAGACTAGAGCGTGGGGTGGGCTGCTCTTCTGTCTATCTAGTTGTCATATACAGTGTATATTTATTTATTAAATGACATATGGCTGCCCATCTCACCAGAAGTGAACCAGCATTGTACAGCAAAAAATATGAAACAATTAACATGTCAAAAACAGTCATATTAAAACTTAAAAACAAAAACAAAACATAAAACACACAAAAGATTAGATCAGCAAAAGATGCCAACTTTATCCTAAAATTAAGGTCACCAAATTCATTGAAGTTCTTCAAGTAGCACGTTGAATTTTTGGAAAGTATATTCCTTGACTTTCTCCGCCCTGAACGTCGTCTTGCTGGTTGTCTTCCATCCAAGGCAGGGAATTCATTCCTGGACTACAGCCACTTACTTTACCTGCCTGGAAATGGAACAATCCCAACGGAGACGTCACTTCCCACTCTTTGCTCCTATTGATTGGGTGCCCGCTGTGATCTCCTCAGAGGCAACATGGCTGCACGGACTGGAACTTGGGACTGTTGCCTTTCCCAATTTGGAGGCCTTTTGTGGCTCTTGTGCTGGATTGGGGATCTGGCCTAAAAATGGGAGACAAGGAGGTGGTTTCAAGAAAAGTCTGTGGATGCCAGTTGCTAAATGGCTACTTGCCCTTCTCTTGCCCTAATTCCATGCAAATCGTCCCTTCTCTTTTCCTTTTGTAATTCTTCTCCTTCCTCCCAGTTCCAACTCAAACCATTCCCCTGATGAATCTAGAACAAGGAACCAGAGAGACTGGATGCATCTAGGGCAGGGGTAGGCAACCTTGGCTCTTTTATGGCTCGTGGACTTCAACTCCCAGAATTCCTGAGCCAGCCATGCTGAGGGGAAAGGGAGAGGTTTCCAAGCTGAGCCATGCTGGCTCAGGAATTCTGGGAGTTGAAGTCCACGAGTCATAAAAGAGCCAGGGTTGCCTACCCCCGATCTAGGGCTTGTTTACAGCAAAATTATGTTCTTTTTGACAGGACTTTATGGATAATATGGAATGGCTGAATGGCATTTATGCAGACTAGAAATATTAAACGGTGATGTAGGAATAGTAGTTCTGGTTCATCATCTCACTTTCTTTTCTGTGGCTTAACCTCTCCCATCTGGAAGCACCAACAATTAGTTTCACTAAGGTCAATCTTCTCAGATCTTATTTTAATCAACCTGGAATGTTATTCTTTGCTTCCCCATTCAACAAAGTTGAACATTATTTTGAGTATTCAGGATTCAAAACCAAACTATCCCCTCTCCCACTCTCTCTCCACTATCTCTCTCTCAAGAGAGAGGGAGAGGGAGAGGGAGGGGAAACGAAGCAGATGGAAGAAAGAAGAAAGGGTGAGAGGGAAGGAGGACGGATGGAAGAAAAAATGCTCAGTCCAATTTATCTCCCTTCAGTTCATGGACGAGGGTCTCTGGTCCATTCTGACACGATCTCTAGAGGTTCAAACATTCTACTCTCATATCATTATCACCTTTCTTGGCCATTTTCCTAATAGTCCAGTTTCACGATCTTCTAATTCTATCTCATACAAATGTCAGCGCTCATGAATGTTCATAATTAGCCTCGCAATCGTCTCAGCTATCTTGCTTTTATTGTTGTTATGGTCTTTCAAGCCAACTGTGACTGCGTGGACCAGTTTTCTTGGCAACATTTTTGCCTAGTACTTTCTTCCTGGGGCTGAGAGAGAGGGAGGGAGGGTCTGGCCCAAAGTCATCCAGGTGGTTTCCATGCCTAAAGGGGGACTAGATATCCCCCATTCCTAGTCCAGGCCCATTAAGGATTACAGGTAGTCCTCAACTTACAACAGTTCATTTAGTGACCGCTCAAACTTACAACGGCACTGAAAAATGTGACTTATGACCATTTTTCAGTTACCACCTTTGCAGCATCCCCAGGATCACATGATCAAAATTCAGATTGCTCAGCAACTGGTTCATACTTACGATGGTTGCTGTGTCCCAGGGTCACGTGGTTCCCTTTTGCGGCCTTTTGACAAGCAAAGTCAATGGGGAAGCCAGATTCACTTAACATGTTACTAACTTATCAGCTGCAGGGATTCACTTAACAAGGGTGGCAAGAAAGGTCGTAAAATGAGGCAAAACTCACTTAACAAATGTCTCACTTAACAACAGAAATTTTGGGCTCAATTGTGGTCGTAAGTCGAGGACTACCTGTACTGTATCCTAAACTGGCTCTCTTTCTCCATTTCTGCCCTTCAGCAAATAAAATTCAGTATAGTTAGCAAACGCAGTCAACAGAGAACGGTGTGATCTTATTCAATAGAAGGAATGGGCCACTTAAGATCAAGCTGCATGTCCTCCCTGCACTTATTTTCTGAATTCCTTTCACACATTTTTGTGTGAGTCACTGTTGACTCATTGCGACTAGACAAGACCTTGCAGTTCTCTTGGCAAAGTTTCTCAGTTTCTTCTCCTGGCTTTCTTCTTCTTCTTAGGCCTGAGAGAGAACGACCGGCCCAAGGTCACTCAGTTGGCTTTGTGCCTCAGGCCAGACAAGAGATCACAGTTTCCCCGCTTTCATGTGCTTTAATCATGATACCAAACTGATGCTTTCTTCCAAGCCTAGTTGTTGAAAATCAACCAAATAATAATAATAACAAATGTCCTAAAATAAATTTCACATTGAGAGAGGAACACTCTGATGTTCCTCCAAACCTAGGATAAATTTTAAAAAGCCTCCCCTCTGTCAACTTTGCCTCAGCAGCCTGCTCACTGCAACCCTTGCTGTTACAGTTGCGAATAAGATGATGTGTTCAGCCCTGAGGTAACTGAGGTTGCTCAAGGTGGACCTTCAGACACGGAACAAGCGTGGCTTTTTCCTCCATTCCCAGAAGCTCTTCTCTGTCAGAGCCTCCTCTGCATCCGTTTACCTTTGGGGCCTGCAGCGGCTGGCGTCTGATTCTCCAGCAATGACTCAGGCTGCTCCGACCACAACTTGTAGCCAGGATTACTAAGGAAACGCTTGCTCAAGCCACAGTTCAGGCACTGCACAACAGTCCACCGCTGATGACGGCGCTCTATTTGGAAACGTGAAAGAACGAATCACCGGGAATACAGAAGAACAGAAGACGCCCTCCCTTCCCGCTACTCCCCAAACATATGGGTAGTCCTTGACTTACAACCATTTGTTTAGTGACTGTTCAACGTTACAAAGACAATGGAAAAAAGTGTCTTATGACTGTTTTTCACATTATCACAGGGTCACGTGATCAAAATCTGGATGCTTGGCAACTGACATGTATTTATGACAGTTGCAGTGTCCCAGGGTCACGTGATCACCTTGTGCCACCTTCTGACAAGCAAAATCAATGGGGAAAACCAGATTCACTTAACAACCGGGTTACCAACTTAACAACTGCAGGGATTCAATTAACAACTGCCGCAAGAAAGGTTATAAAACATTGAACTCCTCACCCCTTCAGTATGTTATAAATCACAATCCCCAATTAACTACTTTGGCGAGCTTTCTAAAGACAGCTTTAGCCAAAACTTAGGTAACTTGACCTTGGTTCCCAGAGAACAGTTATTGTTAGGTCTAAACTAAGAGAATGCATCTCTCCTCCCCCTATCACCGTGGCAACCAAAAACGAAATGAAGATGGCTGCAGCCAAATTCATTTGAAGGTTGACACTGTTATTATTATCTGTCTCACAAAATTTAGTTCTTGTCTTCCTGTAGAATCATTTTTCTGATATGATCTACCTCTCACGGCTGACAATAAAGGATTTTTAAAATCGCTTGATCATCTGCAAAAACCTTGATGATAATCTAGCGGTTTGCAACGGGAAGCACCAGGGGTTCAGCAGAGCTGAAGTGGCTTTTGAAGACAACACACATATTTTAGAGATTGATTTCACAAAATATGTTTACCTTCAGGATTGAAATTAACCCATTTGTTTTGATTCACACAACCTACTAAACTGGTATTTCACAATACTAAGCCAGATAGCCAACCCACCCCAGACACTTCCCAAATTCTCAAGTTTATTAAGTTGGGCACTAGTTAACCTGTTTAAGCGACCTGTTAAGAATTTTGTGTGAACACAGCTATCTCCTTACTACTTTTCCTGACAATTCTGTATGTTTTATGTAGCTGTACATAAAGATGGAATCAATTTTAAACCTCTTCTATTTGCTTCTGAAGGATGGATCATATAAAGCCCACTGTGGGCTTTCAACTCTTTGAAGGAAGAGGCACTAGTAAAACAGTGTGTACACCCACAGGCCATGAAAACTCCAGATGTTTGTCTCTGTTGTGCAGATGCCAACCCGTTCTGTATGAAAAATGGTGCCAGCCAGAATGGATCTAAGGATGAGATGGAGAAGAGAGACCTCCCAAGGCTCAGTGTCATCTACATATCATTTCCCAAAGAAGCTCAAAGCAAGCCTATAGATCTATAGATGTCACTAAGCAAACTCTTGAGTCTCTCTTCTCCATCTCAACCCTAGCATCCATTTACCCCAAGGGGCAGAGGTGTCAATCATATCAGATTCTAGGGCAAGAATAATACCAAGGAGCATCCAGAAGCGAGGAGGAAAAGAATGCAATACTGACTTCGTTGGCGAACTGTTGAGCTGATTCCAGGAACAAGAAGAGAGAAGCAGGATTTGCAGATGGTCCTTTTCACAGAAGGATCCCTGCACACAAAATCAGGCGATCAATTAATTTGCAGCACTCAATTACCCTTGATAACTGAGGACTATCTATACTATTTATAACCAGACACTGACAGGGTGTTCATATCAAACTAAGCTATAATGTGCTTTTGGTTAGGGAAGAATCTAGTTTTGCCTTAATAGGATATGTGAGCTTCATTGTGGCTCAGTGCAAAACGTGAATCTAGCCAAATGTAACATCTTGGTTAGCAAAGTTGTGCTATAATGAGAGGTATGAACAGAATCACTGAGTTCATAGCCAAAGTGAGATGGCAACCATAAACCACCCAGCTCTTCTAAATCATTGTTCGCCATTTTAAGAGGTATGGACTTCAGTTCCCAGTATCCCAGCATGCAGGCTGAGGAATTCTGGGAGTTGAAGTCCAAATCCCCTAAAGTTGCCAGATTGGGAAATACTGATCTAATTCAATCTGGTCAATTTCAGTTTTGACCCCTAATGTAAGATTTAGAAAACAGTAAAAGAAGAGAGCGAAAAGAAGAGGAATTGAGAAAGGACTAATTGGGAAAAAGCAATGTGACTTCTATATTGGAGCAGTAAAGGGCAAAAACTGTATCATATGCCAAAAGTTGATTGAGATCTCAAGGCAGCCATGAATTTATCTGTATGATAATAGTAAAACTAATATTTTTTTTGTTGCAAATTATGAAGTACAGACAAACCTTTGATCTATTTATTGTGGTCTCATGAACTCCAATTTCCCTCCTAAATATGGATACATTGTTAATAATTACAAAGCGTTCCCCATAAAGAACATAAGAATAAATAAAGCATTAATAAGGCATGTCAGATTATAAGTAGATTTTTAAGAAAAAAAATTGGCAACAAGGAGAAAACAGGTTCAAAAGATGGGAAGAAAAATGCTCCATTTGTTGCTGGATTGGAAACAATATCTTACCCTAGAAATTAAAGGTTTTATACCCTGCTTGTAATCACCTTCCACAAAAGATGGCTACTCATGTATTCAAGATGGACAGTGAATGATATTTATATGTTACTTATATGTAAGGGTGTAGATCTATACCAGGGATAGGCAACCTTGGCTCTTTTATGACTCGTGGACTTCAACTCCCAGAATTCCTGAGCCAGCCAGGCTGAGGGGAAAGGGAGAGGTTTCCAAGCTGAGCCATGCTGGCTCAGGAATTCTGGGAATTGAAGTCCATGAGTCATAAAAGAGCCAAGGTTGCTTACCCCTGGTCTATACATATGTTGTATACAGTATGTTTTAAATGTGTGTTATGTATGTGTACACTTTGAGAGGAAGCAACTAAATTTCATTTTTAATGTGTGCCATTGTGCCCACAGGAAAAAATGACAATAAAGGTTATCTACTCACTGTCTCAGGACGAGCCGTCGGCTGATGTTGTTTTGGGTTTGACAGTAGAAACGAGCCAACTCTTGGTTATTTGGGTTTTGGGCAAGCACACAATGCGCTGCCTGTGTAAGAAAGAGAAATATCCTTACCGCCTCCCAGAGATATCTAGGCTAAAGTCATCCTACACACTCTGGTTGCCTCATAACAAAGGGATCTTACGGAGAATCAATCTGATCCTATTAAGGCTTTGGTTGTAAAACATGTAAAGAATCTTAGCACATCTTAAAAGCTACATCAATTTTTGGGGGTCAAAGCTCGAGTAGCATAATATGATCACTAAAGTAAGGAGGTGTCTTATTTTACTACAGGACATTTAGTGGCCAGATCCTGAAAGGACACGTCTTTAAGAAGGTCTTTGTTGATTCTTACTACTTGGGCATGCGGCTCATTCTTGGTGATTCCCACTTTAGGGAGACTGACATTATGTCTTTTGTATTGTGGGCAATCTCCCTTGAAAGTCAAATGAGCCCCATAATTCAGGGATTCCCAACTCCTGGCCCCGTGTGGAACCATTAGGAACCAGACCCCGAAAACGGTGGGTGAGTGAGGCACGCATACAGCTGCATTTGCCGAAGGGGCGGGTGAGCGCACACGTTTGTGCAAGTGGCAATTGAGCGGGTGCACGCTCACGAAACCATCCCCTCTCTTTCCCTGCCGCCGGTGCTGCCAGGACACAGAGCCGGGAAGGTTGGGGACCGCTGTCATAGTTGATTGTTTTCCAAAGCAAGTAAAGATGTAATACTTTCTTTTTGTGGTTGATTGTACAGCTATCTGGATCTTACAATAATATTCTGGTTTATTGACTGGAAAATTCTGGGAGTTGAAGTCCACATATCTTCAAGTTGCCAAGGTCTATAGCAGGGGTGTCAAACTGCCAACCTGGGGGCTGGATGCGTCACGCGGAAGCCGCGCCCACCCCAGCTCCGCGGTACTTCGCAACACGTCACGTGACGAGTTAACACCCCTGGTCTATAGGATCATTATGTGAAAACAGGATCAAATTTGTAATGGAGGGGGAGGAGGGAGAAGTTGGAAAACAAATTTAGGGTTGTGAAGAATCCAGAAAAAAAAAAATACTCCACTACAATCCTATAGAATCCTGCCAACTGCTCCATTCTTAACCCCTCCTCCCTCTTGGTCATGTGACCAAATCTGATACAGAGCCAGTCCGCTCTGTGCTTCCCAGTTTATATATATACAGGAGCGTTTAGCAGGGACATATAGAGATCCCAAGCAACTAATGCACAATTAGTTAAATAGGCACATGCCCTGATTTAACTCTGGGGAGAATATGCACACGTGCAAACACATGTAGATGTACCACATTACAAGAGTAGGAACGTGGACATACACACAAACATGAGCAATTGTATTACAGAAAAAAAATAGATGCCTCCTATAGGTGCTGTTGGGAAAGGGGTTGGAAAAAATTCCAGAAACCATGCTGTGCATGTTGTCTCTACATTGCTTTTCAAGGAACTGTCTTTCTGACTGTACCCAAGAGAAAAACATGCATTTCACATGCATTTGTGAGCAAACTGGAAACTGAGGCATAGCTAAGGGTCACTTCCCGCTACACCCCCCGTTTTAAACAGCCTAGTAAAATTAATTCCTACGCCAGGAAATTCTTCTCACCTGATAGAGGAAATTCAGTCTCTGAAACGCTTCTTTGTCCTTTATCATGCTGAAATGATAAAGGTATCTTAAATTATTTAAGTGACAAAACAACTGACAGCATGCAAAAAAGGGTTAGATCAACAACAGTACTTTTTTTAAAAAAAAGCTTTGCTTATATGGATTGGAGTTTTAGAGTTGGAGGGATATCACAATATATGAGGGCCCAATCTTTTTGACCCAGTGGGCATATTACAGGGGCTTAGTTGTCACAGGGGGCTCTGTCATTCACAGCACTACAGTCAGGGTGTCCACTCTCAAAACACTAATTAAACTAAGTATCACTTGGTTGAGTTGGACAGCTATAGACATTGAATGAATAAATACAAATAAATGAACCAGAAAGTACAACAGGGGGAGACTGTCCCATATCAATAGCAATAGCACTTACTTATGTACAGCACTCTCTAAGTGGTTCCAGAGACAGCCTATTGTCCCCCAATAATCTGGGTCCTCATTTTACCGACCTTGGAAGGATGGGAGGTTGAGTCAACCTTGAGCCAGTGAGGATCGAACTCCAGGCTGTGAGTTGAGTTTGTCTGCAATGCTGCATTCTAACCACTGTGATACATGGCTCCACCTTTTTTTTTTTAAGGTCCCAAGAACATTTGCTATCTGTCCAGATCAATTTTCCTTTTTTATGGGCAGACACATTTACCAAGGCTACCAAATCAGGGCTGTAAAACTTTAGATAACCACTGTCAAATATTTCAGAGTTTTCTGTATGCACCATGTAGCTATCTAGGTTTGACAATTTTGTTTATTGATTTCTGAGATTTATCCCCATCTTAATCCTTAATAGACTTTATGCAATTACAGAATATAATAGAAATAAGACAGTAGTAACAAATACATCCTAGAGCACGGAGAGTGGAGAGAAGGAGGGAACAACGCAGGCAGGCTCAACTACTCGGGAGGAAAGCGTCCCGCCCCACTCCACAAGGCACACCTGGATAATGAGATTTAAGGAGATGCTGTGGGGAGAGGCATTTGACGGGAACAAAAGCTGATTCCTTGGAGTTTTGTATGTGTTGTTGCTGATCTCTTGTTCTGTGACTTCTGCTTGGAAACCCGGAAACTCTGACCATTGGACTGGCTGACAATATTGCTTGGATGTTTATAAATCTCGGACTGTATTTTGGCTTCCCTTTTGAAACTGCTCAGGCAAGTGTGTATTCACACAGACTCGTTAGATTTATGATGTATGTGTCATTTCCTTGTTATCTCCGTGGCCTTGAGTAAATACCTCTCATAATCAGACTATATGTGAAACTACTTGCAGCCAGAGGCGCTGAAGGTGTGTGTGTCTTCCTGTGTTTGGAGGCTTGCCAGAAACGTGGGAGCATTTGGGGAAAATTTGGAGCAATTAAAGGACAGTTTGAATTGCCAGCTGACTGCATTGCCTCTGTGCTGTGCCCTGGGTCATCACATAATGGGTCTGGAAGCTAAACCGTATGATGCACACTTAAAGAACTAGGCATGTTTAGCCTAACGAAGAGAAGGCTTAGGGCAGGGGTGTCAAACTACCGGCTCGCAGACCGGATGCATCATCCGGAAGGCGCACCCACCCCATTGCCGGCAATGGCAAAACCGTCCCGATACGTTGTGCGACGCCATGTGACATCGCGAGTTTGACATGTCTGGCTTAGGGTGATAGGATAGCTATCTTTCAATACTTGAAGGATTGTCACAGGGATGAAGGGGTTGATTTATTATCCAAAGCACCCGAGAACGGACAAGAAGCAATGGGTGGAAGCTTGTCAGAGGGAGGCCCAACTTGAAACTAAGGAGAAATTTCCTGATAGTGAGAATAATAGTCAATGGCACAGCTTACCTCCTGGAGTTGTGGGTGCTCCATCGCTGGAGGTTTTCAAGAAAAAATTGGACAACCATTTGTCCAGGATGGAATAAGAACTCCTGCCTTGGGGCAGAGGGTTGTATTAGAAGACCTCCAAGGTCCCTTTCAGCCCTATGATTCTATGATTGATTAATTGATTGACAGACAGATCTGTTTAGGAAATCTTAATAATAATAATAATAATAATAATAATAATAATAATAATAATAATAATAATAATAATAATAATAATAATAATAATAATAAAAAGTTGGAAGGGACCTTGGAGGTCATCTAGTCCAACTCCCTGCTCAGGTAGGAAATCCTATACCAGTTCAGACAAATGGCTGTCCATTTTCTTCTTGAAAACTTCCAGTGTTGGAGCATTCACCGCTTCTGGAGGCAGGTTGTTCCACTGGTTAATTGTTCTAACTGTCAGGAAATTTCTCCTTAGTTCTAGGTTGCTTCTCTCCTTGATTAGTTTCCATCCGTTGCTTCTTGTCCTGCCTTCAGGCACTTTGGAGAATAGCTTGACTCCCTCTTCTTTGTGGCAGTCCCTGAGATCTTAGTCTCTTAGATACCATGTAGGGCTTTAAAAGTAGCTCCCAGCACCTCAAACTGCACTTTGAAACACATTTCTAACAAGTGCAACATCTTCAGCAATGGTGCACGTATGTCAGAAACATGAGTGACTCATTCATCCAACCTCAGCAACTTTAAGATATGTGGATTTCAATTCCCACAATTGTCCCCAGCCAGCATGAGACACATGGTATCATTTTGTTTCTCTCAGTTCCCCCTTCCCTAAATTTGGAATAGCAAAATTAAAGGATGCTACAACTCCACCCCCAATGAATTGTTACAATCCATTAACTCTTAATTTTGCAGGGAGGGGACAGGAAAAAAAAAAAGTCAAATAGAGACAGTGCTACAATGCAGCTTGATTCTCCTAAAAGGGATCTGAGATGTGCAAGAGCACATAGGTCTTGCCACTTATAGGCCTTCTTCACAATACTGTTTTGGCCCTTCTGACTTATATTGCATCCATCCAATGCCAGTCTTTTCCTTAGCCCTATAGAATAGATAATGTGGGTATCAAACGGCTATGAATTCAAATCATTCGCTTCAAATCACTCACCTGTGTGACTTGGAGACCAGCTTTCTTCTTCTTCTTTTGCTAAAGAAGCACAGCCTTTTTTAGTAGACAGAGGATGAAATCTTGACCGTGGAAAGAGGAAACAACCTGATAGTTACAGAAACAAAACAAAGCAAACTCCTGTAAGAAATTGGGGGTTAAATTTTCTGCATTCCTTTATACTCCATAAAAATAAAAACAACAACAACAGAGGATACAAGGCTATTATTATTATTATTCCTTCCTTTGGGCTTAGCCCTTGATGACCCATATCCGACTTTACCCCTGTCGTCTGATTGCATTGGTCCAAGTTGATTAAAGTGCCATAGAACCGGCTTCCTAATTCCGCGCGCAGAGTCTCTCTCCAAGTCCGTCGCTCGAAGCTACCGGAGCGCATCTTTTTTTCCGGTTTCGTGGCACAAAGGCTTCTGGGAAATGTAGTGCCTTTTCATTCCATGGAATTGAACTACAACAGGGAGGTAGCGTTCGGGTTCGAAATAGGAAAGGGGCTTGGGGGGGGGGGCGTCGTCGTAGCTGCGCATGCCCCGTAGTTTTCCCCATAGGAAAAACGTGTTCTGCTATCTCAGAGGTAGGCAACCTCGGCTCTTTTATGACTCATGGACTTCAACTCCCAGAATTCCTGAGTCAGCATAGCTGACTCAGGAATTCTGGGAGTTGAAGTCCATGAGTCATAAAAGAGCCGAGGTTGCCTACCTCTGTGCTAACTTAACGTAAAGATTATTGAATGCCCAGATAAGGGAATCTTTTTTTTTTTAAAGAACCCTCGGCTCTTTCCCCTTCGGCTCTGAATTTTGCAGGGGAGCATCTACGGGTAAAGTGGGCCGAAGCCTGCAGAGCGCCCCCTTGCGCACGAATTAAGAAACTCGAATGCATTAATTAAGTCTGGCTCGTGCGAGTGTGCCTTCGACTCGGTGTTGACTCCTAGTGACAGCCTGGAGATGTCCCTGCAGATTTCTTAACAAGGTTTCAGGACTAGTTTGCCATTGCCTCCTTCCTAGGGCGAAGAGAGCACGACTGGCTCAAGGTTACACTGCTTGGCTTGTGCCCAAGGCAGGACTAGAACATGGTTTCATGGTTTCTGTGGTGGTGCCTTGAGCATTACACCAAATTGGCTGTCTGAAATAGGTTACTAGCACTCAAAATAATTGCTTAGCATTGCATGCCTATTCCATACCACTTGACTATGTGCCATTAAGTTATTTTCAACTCCTAGTGACATAGATAGATTTCTTCATGAGGTTCTGTCCCTAACTTGTTTCAAGTCTTCCACAGAGACACTCATCACCCACTGTAGCTGACTCCGTTCACTTGTTGCTGGTCATCCTTTCCTTCCCTTTCCTTCCACCTTCCCAGCGTTAGAGCCGTTTCCAGAGACATGGCTCTTGGCATCATATGTCCAAAGTAGGATAATTTGGGCAGATCATTTGGGCCTCAAGTGAGAACTCTGGGTTGATTTGTTTGATGATCCATTGGTTACAGCCGCTTGTCTGGAATAGTATATATAGGGTCCCTTGCTTGAGCAGGGAGTTGGACTAGAAGACCTCTAAGGTCTCTTCCAACTCTTGTTATTCTGTTTCTTTTCCTGGCTGTCTTCTCCAAAACAAAGTTCAAAGGTATCAATACTTTTTTATCCTGCTTCTTTAAACTCCAACTTTTGTTTCTATATAGAGCATCACAGGGAACATCATAATCTAACAATCAACTAAATAAACAAATTTGCTTATGTAAAGATCAATTTACCTGCCATTGACCTGGCTGATGGCAAACATTAATATCATGGGAGGAGATCCAACTGAGTATATCTTGGCTGTACACATGCCAAATGCTTGGCTGTACACATGCTTGGCTGTACCTGCATTTATCAGGTACCATTTTCTCTCACCAGTAAGCCAACAGTTTTTTGCTGAAGGCATATTACAAACTGAAGCCTCCGATGTCCTTGGGCTGGGGGAAGCCTGAGGATAGCAAGGCCAGAGGACAAACTAAGTCAAGAGTTTGGGCTCTGCAGGATGCAATCTGAGTTGGTTACCGGGAACAGAGTTTTAGCCTTTCAAACTTTCAGACACATGCTGGAGCCCATCCTCAGGGAATTCCTGTCTCTCCACTATGTGCATTCAGAGAAAAAGAAGTTCCCTGCGGATGGGCTCCATCATGTGTCTGAAAGCTCGGAGGACTATAACTCTAATTCCAGTGACCAATTCAGATTGGATCCTGCAACATTATCCTGACATTATTTGACTTCATTTGTGGGCTTGAACTCTGCCAGCAATAACAATAAACCCTGTCTGGGACGTGGCTCAAGGTCTGAAAGACAAACAAACCTAATTGGAATTCCAAGAACAAAGTTTTATTTGGATAAAGCTTTTGTTTTTTTCTCATGCAGGAGAAAAGGCCACATGCACAATTTTAAAAAGCATATATTTATACCCTCTCACGAAGCTGGTTCCCCCCACCCCTATCGCACTCAACAGCCCACCTGCTCATCCCAATCAGTTAATCCGAAGCGCCTAAAGAGAAGACATTTCTTTTTCCCCTCCCAGGAAAAAGACCCTTGCATCTATACCTATTGTGTTAACCATAATGAAGCTATTTTCCAAAGCGCCTGAAGGCAGGACAAGAAGCAACGGATGGAAATTAATCAAGGAGAGAAGCAACCTAGAACTAAGGAGAAACTTCCTGACAGAACAATTAACCAGTGGAACAACCTGCCTCCAGAAGCTGTGAATGCTCCAACACTGGAAGTTTTTAAGAGGAGACTGGATGGCCATTTGTCTGAAATGGTACAGGGTTTCCTGCCTGAGCAGGGGGTTGGACCAGATGACCTCCAAGGTCCCTTCCAACTTTATTATTATCATTATTATGACCTACTTTTTTCTAGCATAAGCTCTATCTTTGTTTTTGTATTTCCTCTGCTTGCGGTTAAGGCTGACTTCCTAAGAACAAGCTACATGTCTGAGATCTAAGCAACAATCTTGCATTTCTAAAAGCTCAAGTAACTCCATTTTACAACTATGCTTAAGCTTCAGCTGTGTCATTAGGATTGGTTTTCTTCATAAGATCATTAAACAATTTCTGATCTTATTATCCCTTACAATTCACCCATTTCTCTTTTCATCCTTTCAGAAATTTTTACTCCTGATTTAAATCAGACAATGGTATCAAATGTACCGACTCTTCTTCATCCATAGATTTACCTTTTACTCTTAGCATTAACATTTTTTCTCCATTCTGCACTTGTTTCTACACCAAAATTACTTGCATACGTTCAATAGAATGTTGAATAGTTCTTACCATAATGGATAAGAGGCAGAGCAAAAGTATAAGTCCACTTACTGCCATAAGCAAAATGATTCCCCACTTCTGCCATCCTCCCCCAAATATCTGACATATCCAGGAGGTGTCCAAGATACCTGTCCATGTTTGTACTGGGATTCCCAATTTTTCTCCTTGCTGTATTGGGAGAAGGAAGAAACTGTGTTTGATTGCATCAAAGACACATGCTCCATTCCATCCTTTGGGAAGTATTGCATAAGCATATCTACCACAAATCCAATACATCCCATCAGGTGCTTTCCATCTTAGGGAAACATTTTCCTGGGCTATTCCACAGTTCCTTTCGATTGAATAATATTTTGAAAAGGGTTGGAGGGCTCAGTTCTATTTTCACCACTCCATCAGGTTGCCCTCTACTGCCCTATTATACTGAGGTAACTTTAGAGATAAAGGCATCTTCCTAACCACAAAACATGGCAGATCAACTTCTGCAGAGTTGGGGGTTTGACTTCCTTCACCCAGAAATCTATGTTGGAATAGATTATTTAATACTTACTGAAAATCAACTAAATTTTTATTGCACAACAAAACATATATTTGGGCACTTTTCTGAGCTGGAAAGCCAAAACAGCAGATTCATGCAGGTTGCACACCAAAGATAGTGACTGCGCCCCATGTGATTGAAGTTCTCTGCATTTCCACCACTTTGATCTTGGAGCCTTTTGCCAATATTTGCAGCTTCCTCCCCCTTTATGGGCAGAATCCAATTGGTCAATGCACCCTCCTGTCATATATCACATTGCTCTTTTCATTTGTGAGAGATCAGGATATAGTCTGGTCATTTCTGAAACTGTTTCCTTCTTTGGAATAAGCCGAGGGTGATATTTACAAGCAGTCCCTTTAAAACTGATAAACAGGTAAGTCTGAAGAATTTTTTAAAATCAATATTTTTCAGAGAATTGGAAGATGATTTTTAGGAAAAGGACTAGAATTTCTGTTAATTGTTAATCTTATTGCAGGCTAGGCATATGTAAAGAGACAACAATCTCTTCAGCGATAAAAGGAAACTTATTTATTTAAGAAATTTTATATCGCCACCCAATTGACTCTCAGTGACTCCAGGCAGCTTATGACTGCAGCATCTCCAGAGTCACATGATCAAAATTTGGATGCCTGGCAACTGGCATGTATATATGACGGTTGCCATGTCTCAGAGTCATGTGATCACCTTTTGTGACCTTCTGACAAGGAAAGGCAATGAGGAAGCCAGATTCACTTAACAGCTATGTTACTAACTTAACCTCTACAGTGATGCACTTAACAACTGTGGCAAGAAAGATCATAACATGGATAAAAATGTGCTTAACTGTCTTGCTTAGCAACAGAAAGTTTGGGCTCAATTGTCATAAGTCAAGGACTACCTGTATTGCGGCCAAATTCAAGAGTGAAAACCCTAAAGTTGATTAACTTTTCAGTTGGTTGAACAACTATGGCAGGAAAAGGGAATCTCAGACAAATCAAGATTAGCATTCATGTATGAAAGGACTACAATTGTAGAAAGCTCAGTTTTTCAATTACTTTTTCCACTGTAGAAATTGATTCATTTATTTTTATTGATGGCTGTATGCCACCCAGAGTCACTTTTTGTGAGATAGGTGGACTTATAAAGATGAGAAATAAACATAAACTTTATTTAACAAGTGTATATGGCCATCCAGCTAATGAAGGAGAGGTAAATTCAGGTCAAATCAGTCCTCATAGGTAAGAGGACTGGTCAGCTTGTGTACGACAAACAATTAAACATCACAGGAATTAAAAGCTTCAGAAAAAAATGAAAGCAAACTTGTGGGAGAAAAACATCCTCTAAACACAATATAACCATTACACATGCTTCCTCTGGTCTCCCCAAGATTGCTGGGAAAACCACATTTTGAGGGCCTTCTGAAAGGCTAACAGGGTTTTGGAGATTGGAAATGTTTACAACAGATCAACTCCAGTTTTATGGCTTAGTGTAAAAATAAATCTGGAAATTTGTTCAGATGTTGAAAAGTAAAGAGCACTGCCCCAAATTATGATGGTCTACAATCAGCCATGGTCCCAGATGGAAAATCCTAAAAAAAGGAGGATGTTTGTGTGTATGTCAGAGAAATTCAACTGTATACTTGGATGATTTAAAGCAGGGTCAGAGCAGTAAAAATGTTGACTTGGGATCATTTTGCATTGTTATTTATTTCAGTTATATCTTAGCTATAATCCACAAGATAGGGATTGGTACACCAAGTTCCAGAAAGGGATTTTGGAATAAGTTAAAAAGATATAATATACTATCAGGGAATGGTGCAGCAGGTGTCCAAATGAAACCAGAGAGGCTGACACAAACTTGTAGTTTTATATAAATAAATATATTTACAGCAAATGAGATAGTTAGGCAAACAGGAGCATTGTGAGATAAATCATAGAGCACATAGGAGAAAAAGGCAGGAAACAAGGAAACTCTCCCCAGCAACCAATCACAGCATAGATTGCCTCATGCAGGAGCCAGCTCTTTCCAACCAATCAACTATAACTGTGTGTTCTTTACAACTCCACTATTCTAGCTACTAAATTTAAATATCTTAACATATACGTAACCCAAACAATATATACCAAAACTGTATTGGTAACCCTGGAGAGGATCTAACAGCAATTCTGTGTCAAATCTGTCCATTTGCTGAGCAAGGGGATCGGTAACCAGGAGTCCTAAACGGTTCTTTTGGAACCTTGGAGACACATGATGGAGAAGGGTAAAGGTGACTAAGTCACTACCTGCTCACCATTGGTCTCCTCAGCAAAAATAAAAAAGGAGTCCCACCATCACAATAAATCAATGATGAATGGGCATTAGGTGGGCTTATACAGTAAGGAATAATCTCATATTGGTTGTAACTTTTTCCAGGTCCACCGATTTGTCCTACAGTTGCAATGTCTTCTCTGCTATGCCCTTCTCTCTGGTGGTGCTGCCTCCTCCTCCTCCTCTTTCCATTAGCCTCCAGTTCTGCTTCTAATGGGGACACAGTGGTCATAACCAGCAGTGGCCCTATTAAGGGCAAGCAGTTCCTGGCTGGTCTTGGATCTGTGACAGCCTTTCTAGGCATTCCTTATGCCGAGCCTCCCGTGGGGAAGTTGCGTTTACAGAAACCTCTTCCACATCAGCCATGGAATCAAACATTGGAGACCACGAGCTTTGGCAATTCCTGTCCTCAATTTATTTTCGCAGGTGAGCCTGAAGCAGAGATATGGTCTCCTAAAACACCACTGTCAGAAGATTGCCTTTCCCTCAATATCTGGGTGCCGCACCCACAACCTTCTTCATTAGTGCCTATTTTGATCTGGATACATGGAGGGGGATATTTAGGAGGCACGTCTTCTGTGGATGTGTTCAATGGGGCATCCTTGGCTGCGATTGAGAATGTTATTGTGGTCACCATCAATTATCGCTTGGGAGCCCTAGGCTTTCTTTACTTGCCACCAGCTGCTCCAGGGAACCTAGGCTTATGGGACCAACAGCTGGCCCTGAAGTGGATAAAAGAGAATGCAGCTGCCTTTGGGGGAGACCCTTCTCGGGTGACCATTGTTGGCCAGAGTGTTGGAGGAGCTTCTGTGAATTTCCATCTTCTTGCACCAAAAAGCCAGGACCTTTTTGCCCAAGCGGTGATCCAGAGTGGAGCAGCCAGTGCCTTCTGGGCTTGGAGGTCTCCTGAGGAAGCCAAACGGTTATCTCTTGAATTCGTCCATTTGCTAGGTTGTTCCGAGGGTAATAATGTCGATGTTAGGCATTGTCTGCAAACAAAAAATATTTCTGAATTTATTGAGCATGAAATATCTCTGTACCACAAACTTGGATTCCTTCTGAATTTTCCCTTCAAACCAACTGTAGATGAGGATTTTTTGCTTGGTGATCCGGAAAAGCTCATGGAGGAGGGGCAAATTCAGGTCAAACCAATCCTCATAGGAAAAACCTCTGATGAAGGGGGCTCATTTGTCCCTTATGTTTTCTCTGACATCAACGAAAATCTCATCAATCAGGAGCAGCTTCTGAAAGGGATAAGACTGTTGGTGCCAAATACAACTGAAGACTTTGTTCAGACGATTGCCCTGAGGTTCAGTGAAGGAAATCAGGGCCCAGCACAATACCGCTCTGCTCTGTCCCACTTCTTTGCAGATTGGGTCATTGCATGCCCATTGATTGAAGTTGCGAGAAATTTCAGAAAAGCTGGGAGTCCTGTATATGCCTATTTATTCTCACATTGCCCTTCAGGGTCAGTCTGGCCTGAATGGATTGGGGCATCCCACGGTGCTGAGATTCCTTACATTTTTGGGACCCTTGAATCAGTGCTGCCTGTCAATCAAACGTACACAGAGGCTGAAGCCAGACTGAGCCGTAAGATGATGCAATACTGGGCAGAGTTTGCCAGAACTGGGTAAGTGGTTCACTTTATTTCTATAAATTTGTATTTTAAATCCAAAGAAAGCCATTCAACAAATGCACTTTATGTCTAAAGTAGTGCAGCCATACAATAATGCATGCTGTTCCTTTGCCAATGTTTATAAATGAAGTTAATACAGATAGTAGTCTATTTGTGACCACAGTTGAAACTAGAATTTTGATTGCTAAGCAAGGTAGTTGTTAATTGAATCATCCCAATTTAATGATTCTTTTTGCTATAGTTGTTAAGCAAATCACTGCTCTTGTTAACTGTGAATTGAGCTTCCTCCACTGACTTTTCTTGTTGAAAATCAGCTGGGAAGATTGCATATGGTGGTCACTTGACCCCTAGATTCTGCAGTGATTGTAAATATATGCCATTTGCCAAGCACCCAAATTTTGATCACATGACCATGGGGATGCTGCAATAGTTGTAAGTGCATGGGCCAGTTGTAAATCACTTTTTTTCAGCCCCGTTGTAACCTTGAACGGATGTTAAACAAATGGTTGTAAGTCAACTTGTTAATCTGTAAGTCAACCATCCCAGTTGCACTGGGAAAAGCCCTGAAATTTTTAAGGATTCTTAATTATGTCACTTCTAGGTAATCGTTCTTTTATAGTTCAGTGTTATCACACATATTCCAGGTATACTATTTCTGCAAGTGGAATAAAGAAAGCAAAAAAAAAAGAAAAAGAGGCAGAGCATTACTGTACGATTAGGAGAATGCGTAAAGGTGTAAGGTCCTGCCTCAACTTTAGCCTCGGGAAAGCATGGCTCTTGAAACAGGCATCATTTCAAAAAAGTTGTTTTACTGAGAGAAAGTGATTGCAGGGAAGTAAGGTGGAATCCGAAGTTCCCGCGCAAATGTGTTAAGCTAAAAGTCCTATTTCCCCAGCTCCACCCCAATACCCCAGTCCATCAGGAGCCAATCCGCTGGTGTGAAGATGTCGTGAGAACTTTGAGCCGAAAAGCTGATAACTGGCAGTTCTCTGGCACTTCATCCTCACTAGCTGCAGGAGTCAAAACAGATGGCCCTGAAGACTCTTTCCCCACTCCCTATTTTCCATGCAGATACATCAAAGCGAAAACAGAAACAATTTAGGAACATCCTCAATCCACAATGACTCGTGCTCCCTCTCCCCTTGGAATGGCAGCGTTCCAATAGGGACTTGACAAAAGGCTTCCAAGGGAGTAAGTAGTAAAGGGAAACTCCCAAGATGGAGGGTGTGAAAAATGGAGGAATAGATCGGGAGTGGCAGATTTCAAGAGCCTACGAGGAGCTGACCTGGGTTTGGATCAGCAGCCCTGCCCCTCTTCACAATCTCTTGTGAGGAGGATGGATGAAATCTCGAGTGATACTGAACTTTGAACTTCAGTGATATTGAACTTTGGCTGCTGTGGTTGAGCATCCATGACCGTGGGAAATTGCAAATGGTGGTAAAGGTGAGTCGGTTGTCAAGCACCAAAAATATGATCATGTGATCACATAGTGTGTGTGTTTTTTGTGTGTGTGGGTGTGCGCACGTGCGTGTGTGTGGCCATCATAACTCCTAAAATGAGTTGTAAGTAGCTCTGGGGAAATCCATTGTAACTTCCAATGCTTGTTAAGTGACCAGTCATAACTTGAGGACTACTCATATTGTCCTTCTTGTAGCTATATTACTACATACTTTACTATGTACCAGTTGTAGATCTGTGCAATAATTAGTACGAAGAAAGTAGCGAAGCAAAGTTCTTTTTCAACTTTGGCTCTGTGCAAGTAGCAAAGTTGAATTGCTCCTAAGTAGAAGCTGATCACGGATTGTGTTGGACAGAGGGAGGGGGTGGGAATGCCCTTTAGATGCCTCCTGCTGGATCAGTGGTTCTCAACCTTTTTAATGCCGCGACCCCAACCGGTCGTAAGTCGAGGACTAAACCGGTCGTAAGTCGAGGACTAAACCGGTCGTAAGTCGAGGACTACCCAACCGGTCGTAAGTCGAGGACTTTCCCTGCCCGGGAGCGCCGTGCATGCGTGTTCCGCCCCCTGCGCCGGCCGAGGCGTAGCTGGCAAGCGGCAGAGACGGAGCAGGCCGACCACCAGCTGGCCCAGCCCAAGGGAGGTAAGGCACCCGCTGGAAAAGGGGGGGAAAATGGTGGACAAAAAAAATGGCGGACAGCCTTTCTTGGCGACCCCCGTGAAATGGTCGATCGACCCCAAATGGGGTCCCGACCCACAGGTTGAGAACCACTGTGCTGGATGGAGACTTGGGCCTTTTCTTATTATATTTAAAAGCCTTAATAAACCCTGCTGCCAAGTCTCCAACCAGCAGGGGGCACTAACGTCCCCTTTGAGAGTTTCCCTTGGGTGGAGTTTCTCAGATCAAGACGAGTCTCTTTGGAAAATCAGCATCCTTTTCTTCCTCCATAGGAATCCTTCGGGTTTGGTGGCCACCGAGGCTGAGTGGGCGCTCTATAATGCCACGGAGCAGAATTTCTTCCTTCTTAATACTGAGTCATCCAAGGAGGTGGAGAAAGAGCCTGATCACGATTGTGGTTTTTTAAAGAGGCATTTTTCAAAGGCTGAAGACCCACGTAAGCTTGGCTATTAGTCCTGTCTTTGGAGGGGAATGCTTGGTTGATGAAAAAGATATTTCTACACATCATATTTATATTTAATTTTACAGGTCAAGTTTAAAGACCACCCAATTCACTCACAGCTATCTGTGAAAATCTTTTTTTTTGAGGGGGGGCAGTTTTTACAGAGGCTGATTTTTTTTTTTAATGTTGTACTGGGCAATATGTTGTAATGTTAGAGACACATTTTTTAGTGCAAGAATCTTTCATGACATCCCAAGAGTTTGATCTCTAGCTATTTCTTAGGACAGGGCTTTTCAACCTTTTCACCCATTGTACCACTTTTAGGATACGGCAATACCAGTCGCCTAGCAAGGTGTCAAAAACTTGATGACCCAAAAAAAAAAAAAAAGGAAAAAAGTGATAAAGTACAGGTAGTCCTCAACTGACAACAGTTCGCTTAGTGACTGTTCGAAGTTACAAGGGCACTGAAAAAAGTGCACCCCAAGGCACAGCCGAGCAAGACACCTGCCTGCCCGCCCGGTGGCGCTCTTCCTCCTGTCTGAGGTTTTCATTGTTGTGAGCATTTCTGTTGAGGATTGGCAGCGGAGGTGGGGTGGGGGGTATTTGGTTTTTATTCCCCCCCCATCTGCTGGGTGGTTGCAGCAGGTTTTGGTCACTTCACATGACCCTGGACACTGTGATTGTCATAAATATGAATCAGTTGCCAAGCATCTGAATGTAAATCACAAGACCCTGGAGATGCTGCAACATTCCAGCTGATTGGTGCTTCTTCTGGGCTCAGCAGAAACACCAGGATCAGCGTCGAGCTCCAGCTGGAGCCTGGTGCTGATCCTGGCACTTCCGCTGAGCCCTGACAGCCCCCAAAAAGCGCCAATCAGCTGGAAAGCGGCACTGATCCTGGCGCTTCCACTGAACCCTGACAGCCCTGCAGCTCCAGCCATCTCTCGCTCAGGCTTGTGTGGTGCTACCACCAGTTCAGCTCATTCCCCTCCCCCGCTACCACTTTTCTAGGATGGTCACGTACCACCTGCCAGGTGCCAATGTACCACAGGTGGTACCCGTACTACTGGTTGAAAAGCCCTGTCTTTGGAGATCTCTATGTAAGCCTTGGTTGCTCACATAAAGATAACAACAATAATCATAATTATAATAACCCAAAATATCTGCATCACCACTTGACCACCATCAGCACTGACAAAATCCCTGTCAATTGCAAAAGGCAGCTTTACTTGGAGCAGCTTACATCCTGCAATGATACCTTTAACATCATCAAACAATATCTGCCTGTCCCAGCTCTTTGGGAAGGACTGGCTAGGTGGACCAAAAATGTCAAATCCATTCTAAAAATCTGGCTGACTACATGATGAGCAATAGGTTTGATATATATTTACCGTAATAAATGTATATTGTGCCATGGATTTATGGAATCCTCAGAATCCAATTTCAGATCTTTCAGAGATAAGATGTCTGCCTAACTTAATGTTTTATTTTTCTTTGTTCTGCAGACAAGTCCGAAGGTGATTCTGTTTCATCAAACTAGGAAGAAATCAAGAGGTAGGAATTCAATGCTTAACCGCTGTCAATCAGTTCAAGTTGGATGATTTCAAAAGGGGGCTTGACTTTTTTCTAAATAATAATTTCCCATTGGCATTCCAAACAAGTGGCACTTTTGTAGTTCAACCTCCCTGTGTGGAGTAGAAGTTCTCCAAGCTGGTGCCAATGGCCTTTGTGGAAGAGGAATGGATGAGCCATGAAGAGTAACATTTAGAAAAGATCACACAGTGCTGAAAAAGAGGAAGATGAGACTGAAACTTAACTGGGCCGGAGGGAGAGGGAAGGGGGGAATCAGTTTTTTAATAGACAATTGAGACGTAAGGAATGTGTCCTTGTAGTCCACAGTGGCTTGTAATAAATTTTATGAGAACATGTCCATAGGAAATCCTAAATCTCAAGATGCAAATATTTCTTCTAACTAAGGCAATTGTCCTCTCTAGATAACAAAAGGGCAGAATATAACTTGAGATAAATTATGTTATTACTTATCAATATGTATGCATGCATCATTTCCGCCTCCATTTTGAAATGTGTAAATATGAGAGCATCCTTTTATCCGCAGGAATTCCTCCCACTATTTTCTGGAGGGAATTTCTCTAGTCCTCACTGTTAGCCATCAATACTGCAGTGACCCTTGGTTTGGGTTCTGCACTTTGATTCCACAAACTCTTGTTTAGCAAATGATGGGAACAGAGAGCTCCTTAAATGGACAACTAAAAAGCCACACACAACCAGGCATCATAAAAATACCACACGTAGAATAGCCCAAAGTACACATTCTGCTAGACAGAAGTTCCTTGAGTGTTGGTTCCAGCAAGAGTCCGAAAGATCGGAAGACTAAATCCCTGATCCCGGTGAAAGATCCAGATTGGATCCTTAGATGGACTTTTAAGGTTAAGGCACAAGGTTAGACATCAGGAAACTGTGAGTTGTAGTCCTGCCTTAACAATGGAAGCCAGATGGGTGACTTTGGAACAGTCACTCTCCCTCAGCCAAACTCACTTCCCAAGATTGTTGTTGTTGGGAAAATAGGAGAAGAAAGTTGTGTTGGATATATTCTCTGCCTTGAATTATTTGTAAAAATAATAAAGGCAAGATATAAACAATAAATAAATTAAATCTGTTATTATACCTGGAATCTCTGCTTTGCTTGTTCCTTGAACAGCTTCCACTTAGGTTAAACCCCTTTGAAGATGACTTCCAATCTTAAAGGCACCATTTGAAGACCTGCTCTAGCTACAATTTTGTTGGCTTCAGAATAGCAATTATGTGTTTATTTCTTTCAGGAACCAATCAAGACTTTTCTTAAAAGCCATGGGGAAATGATGACAAGTTGTGCCAGAGACCTTTCCAGAAGGATCTATCGGTTCTTTTATGTGGGAACTTGGAAGAAGAATAAGGAGCCAACTAAAATAGACATAATCTGTGCTGTAAAAATAATAAACTATTAGGAGTAATTTGCTATCTCTTAATAAATAACCTCTTTTAATACATTCTGTCTGAATTCTTTGGATAAAAATTCTGTTATCCTCACAACAATGTAAGGACTCAGTGCAATACAGAAAAACAAAATAAAGCAAATTTCTGACTGCCAAAGTTTGCTGTAACCTAATGACTCACAAGTTTTTTTCTCATACTGCTGAGCTCCTTAAAGCTAAATGGCCAGATTTAGTAGTCTGGGTATTGCAGTCCAATTTATTCTATTACAGTGATGGCGAACCTTTTAGAGACCGAGTGCCCAAACTGCAACCCAAAACCCACTTATGCATCATCGGGTGCTGGGTGTGTGTGTCCCATTGGCTGGGTGTGGCCAATTGGGGAGGGGGTGTGGCCCATTGGATGGGCGTGGCTACGGTGGTAACGGCAGACTGGGTGGGACTAAAAAGTTCAATCAATCAATTCCAACTTTGCAAGATCTTTTTTTTTCCCTGCGAGAAGTTGAAATTGATTGATTGATTGAACCTTTTTTTTTTTTTTTGCACACGGCGGCAGAGGCCTAAAGTGAAAAGGTTTTGTAAAACGCAGCTGAAGGCCTAGGACTGGGGCAACGGCGCGCGTGCCCACAGAGAGGGCTCGGTGCCGCCTCTGGCACCCGTGCCATAGGTTCACCACCACTGTTCTACTATATACTGATATGGAGAAACCAGTTTAGGCAAGATTCGTAAAGTAGCATATGAGCCATTTAGTTAGAGATGTTTTCCCATGTGCTATAAAAAGATTTTCGATCTCAGGTTCTAGCAGTTACTGGAATCCATGTGTCCTGATTTCGAAAGATCCAAATCCACCTGTTGCCCAATCAGCAGAAGGTCATAGCATTAACAGTGGGTTCTTCAAAGATTTCCCCATCCAGCTACTTCCTGAAACCACCTCCATTACCTTCCCTTACCCCAAACTCCCAATGTTTCTCTTGAAAGTTATTTGGGGAAGACCTGTCTCCACTCCTTATGCTCTCAATCTGGATTCCATTGATAAAACTGTCAAATATAATAAAAGACACAGTTGATAGAATGGCCTGAGGAGAAGGCTGAACAGAAATGACTACATGAATGAGTTGCTGGAAGAATGGATGAGCAGGATAGGTTAAAATCTTCCTTTTAACAAAATGATAGAATGGCATAAAAAGTTAAGGAGGAGAATAAACAACTGGATAAACTGACTGCCAGGAGAAGAAACATGAAATATATCATGAGTGAGAGAAGGAAGAAATGGATGATGAAGTACAAAATCAGATTATCACAATTTATTCACAACTGATATTGCCATCTCTATTTTGATTAGAATAATGGTTGATACATCTCCCAATCCTTCTGTAGCAGTGGCAGGAGACTTTGCTATCTACATAGGGAATTCCCTAAACTAAATTGCATATGACTTTTTAAATTAAAAAATAGTCTCTATCCCTCACAATAAAAGCTTTCTTTTGAAGAAGAGTTACATTACTTAGATTGTGCCCTCACGAAGGTTTATGCCTTATACCAGGGGTCCCCAATCTGTGGGCGGCAACCCACTACCAGTGCATGGCCTATTTGCAACTGGGCTGCATGAATGGCTGGCTTATCCAACCCCATTGAAGCAAGTGTCGCAGGTGCTCGGGGCCTCGCTTGTGTGAGTGTCACGGGCACTTTTGGCCTCACTCACACGAGTGTCACAGGCACTCGGGCTTCACTCGTGTGAGCAATGGATGCTTCTGCGTGCACACCTGCCCACGCCTGCCCCTCCCACAAAACACAAGCGAAAGAGAGGCAAATACGGATCAAGGAAATAATCAGTAAAGTACACAGAGGTTTCCACAGATAGACCTATGGTCGAAACCCCTAGATGGTAGCCCTAATGGTGTAACACACATAACGAACAGAGCTTTGATCATATTTATGTGTCTACCATCTTCACTTTTTAAAAATAATTCCCTGCAAGCAGGAAGGTGTGGGAAAAGACAGGGTGAAGAAGGTTCCTTGATTTAACTACTGTTGTTGTATCAACTGCAAAATAACAACAACATGGTGGTATGCTACAGTATGACCAGCTGAAGACACCACAGCCCAGAAGCTCAGGATGAAATGGATGCACAGGGCAGCAATCAGCCACTGGATGGAAGGAGACGTGCCAGTCAGAAGTCAGGTTGTCACTAGATTGGAATGAAGGTCTGCAGACCATCTGCAGGTAGTCCTTGACTTACAACCATTTGTTTAGTGACCATCTGAAGTTACAACAGCATTGGAAAATGTGACTTAGACTGGTCCTCACACTTGAAACTGCTGCAGCATCCCCATGGTCACATAATCAAAATGTGGGCACTTGGCAACCAGCATGTATTTATGATGGTCGAAGCATCTCAGGGTCATGTGATCACTATATGCCTTCTTGTAAGATCCTAACACTCCCAAGAAAGCAGAACTCCTGAAACTGGCATCATTTCAAAAGGAACTTTTATTGAGAGGTAGTGAAAGCAGAAAAGCAAGGCAAGATCTGAATATTTCCTGAGCAAACCATTACATTAAAACACCAGTCTTCAAACCGCTGCCAAGTGCCCATCTGCCCAGTCCATTTCCAGCCAATCCTCAGATGTGAAGTTGTTATGGGAATTGGAGGGTGAAAGA